CACTTCTGGCTTTTTTCTTTTTGCTTATGTGGTGCTGAGGAATTGAACCCAGGGCCTCAGGCATGCAAGGCAAGCGCTCTACCACTAAGCCACCTTCCCAGCCCCCTGTGAGACTCTTATCTACAATTAACCACCTAAAAAACTAAAGCAGAACCAGGCACCAGTGGCTTACATCTGTAATCCTAGCTACTTAGGAGGCTGAGATCTGAGGATCGTGGTTCAAAGCCAGCCGGGGCAGGAAAGGTCATGAGACTCTTATCTCCAATAAACCACTAGAAAATCAGAAGCGGTGCTGTAGCTGTAGCTCAAGTGGTAGAGCACTCACCTTGAGCTAAAGAGCTGAAGGACAGTGCCAAGGCCCAGAGTTCAAGCCCCATGACTACTACCACCACTACCAACAACAACAACAAAAACTAAAGTAGAGCTGTGACTCAAAGGGGTAGAGCACTAGCCTTGAGCAAAAAAGTTGAGGCATAGTGCCCAGACCCTCAATTCAAGCCCTACAACCAACAATAACAAAAACAAAGTTGTAAGCTAGAGGTATAGCTCAGTGGTAGAGCTGCTGTCTAGCAAGAATAAGGTTCTAAGTTTAAATCCCAGCATTGCCCAAAGAAAGAAAGTAATAGGTAGATGTACTTCATTTCTCAGAAATATGGAGGAGGGACAGTGAAAGAAATAACCAGTCGAGTTGAGAATTATGTCCTCTGGCAAATGGGATGAGGAAATGGAACATTATGAGCTAGGGAGATGATCTACTCCATTGTAAGCTAGGTGACTGTTTCCATAGTGTTCATATGTACTTTAAGACATGAAAAATGATAACTTTTGAAAAGGAGAATAGGACTTAGAAAGGTTATCTGCTTTGTGATCAATGGTTGCTCAGTATCTTACCTGACTAACCCAGAAGCTTTCCAAAGATGATTTCTATTCAGAATGAGCCAAAATCTCTCTAGAATAATGCATCAAAGGATCTGTCTGGTCCTACCCCCATAACCCCTGCCTTGGCTCTCCCATCTCCAGCTCAACTGTCAGGCCTGCTGGCCAGCCATGCCATGTCCCACAGCCAAGTGCCACTCTTCCCCATTCATCTCTATGATAACATTTGGCTGAGTCAGAAATGGAAGACCCAGCAAGTACAAAAATGGACATATCACCATGTTAAGCTGGAGGCTACCCAAAGTGCTTGTCATTACAGTGACTTAGAAAGAAAGGAACTGACATTCTCTGGCCACCCACTATGTCCCAGGCACTAAACTCTGGTACTTTTGCATATCATTATCTGTGAGTGTGTGTGCGTGTGTGTGTGTGTGTGTGTGTGAACACTAGTATTCTGGCATTCCATAGCTTTTTTGCTTAAAGCTAGCCACTCTACCACTTGAGCCACAATTCCATTTCTGGCTTTTGGGGATTTTTTTTTTTTGGTCAGTCGTGGGGCTTGAACTCTGGTCCTGGGCCCTGTCCCTCAGCTCTTCAGCTCAAGGCGAGCACTCTACCACTTGAGCCACAGTGCCACTTCTGGTTTTTCTGGTGGTTTATTGGAGACAAGAAACTCACGGTCTTTTCTGCCCCAGCTGGCATTGAACTGTGAGCCTCAGATTTCAGCCTCCTGAGCAGCTAGGATTATAGGTGTAAGCCACCAGCACCTGGCTTCCGGGATTTTTTTTAACAACTAATTTACTTAATTGTTATTGGAAAGGTGATATACAAAGGGATTAGAATTACATCAGTCAGGTAATGAGTACATTTCCTTTCGTTTAGTGTCTTCTGTTCCCTCACTCTCTCTCCCTCCCTCCTTCCTGTCTCTACCTACAATTTGTATCGTTCACTTTCATCAGTGTCCAGTGAGCTCCACTGCTACACTTTTTCACCCTTTTCCCCTTGAGCTCTGTAGTTAATTGGAGATGAGTCTCATGAAATTTCTGCCCAGGCTAGCTTTAAACTGTGATCCTCAGATCCCAGCCTCCTGAGTAACTAAGATTACAGATGTGAGCCACTGGTGCCTGGTTATATGTCATTAACTTTAATTGAGCATCCTGATAATCCTAAGAGGTAGATTTTTTTTTTTATTTTTTGGTGCTAGTCCTAGGGCTTGAACTCCACGGCTAGGTGCTGTCCTTGAGCTCTTTTTTGCTCAAGGCTAGCACTCTACCAGTTGAGCCATAGGTCTACTTCTAGCTTTTTTAATTAGAGATATGAGTCTCACATTTTCCTGTCAGGGCTGGCTTAGAACCACAATCCTCAGATCTCAGCCTTCTGAGTAGCTAGAATTACAGGTTTGAACCACTGGAGCCCCACTGACATAGAATTTTTTTTGTCAGTCATGGGGCTTGAACTCTGGGCCTGGGGGCTGTCCCTGAGCTCTTCTGCTCAAGGAGAATGTTCTACCACTTGAGCCACAGTACCACATTCGGTTTTCTGGTGGTTAATTGGAGATAAGAGTCTCATGGCCTTTCCTGTCCTGGATGGCTTTGAACCGTGATCCTCAGATCTAAGCCTCCTGAGTAGCTACGATTACAGACATGAGCCACCAGTGCCCGGCCTGATATAGATTTTATTACACCCATTTTCCCCTGATTATTCTGACAGCAGAGGTAGCAGTCTTGCACAGTACTGGGCTTCTTGGCTGGCAACAAAGCAACAGCAGTGGGTAAAGAAAACACATGCTCTGCTTCCAAGGAACTGTTCTTCCCAGTTCAGCTGGCCTTAGGATATGTGGTCCCCAAGCTCAGGCCTGATATAGTGATCTGGGGAGGGAAAGGGACAATGTCAGGGGCCATGGAGGGGAGAGAAGGTGCCTACCCATGAGCAGTCGCCGTTTCACCCGCTTATCCCCATCTGCCACTAATGTGGCATTGCTTTCTGTCACCTCTGGGGCAGTGTCCTCTCGTTCTGCAAGAGAATCAAAAGATCTCAGCTCTCAGTTGAACAAGTCAGACTATTCATCGCCCACATAACCCTTTCTGCCAAAATCCCAGATTTAAAACAATAAAATATATAAAAATATATCATAATGAAGCTCTGCAAGAAACAGTACATTAACGGCAGCAAATGCTTGTAAACATTAAATACAGAAACTTCGGAAGTATACTGCAAAGAGACACGAGGGAATGCACGTTTAACATTCACTCCACTACCCTTAGTTCAGGATAAAAAGAAGGTAGGCCTAGAAACCTCTATAATAGAGTTAGCAAATAGCTTGCCACAAAAGGCAGGGCATCCCAACAGGAATACATAGCTGTTGACTGTTGACTACAGAGGCTGCTGTGTCATCCCAATCAGTAAGCCTTAACCTTCTTGTCACCCTGGCCCTTTGGGACATATTGTCTCCATCTCCAGAATACCAGCACGTCAGACTAAGCAAGAAGGAACCTCTATCCCCAAACTAGGGCCCTTGCACTGCAATATGTAAAGCAGCACAGGGCCTGTTTGGGAGCTGAGACACCAGCAACCCCAGTATCTGGGGCTGAACACCATGAGGGTTAGGTTTAAGATTAGGGTTTGAATTAAGGATGGGCAGGCTGGGGCAGAGCCTCACCCAGAGTGAGGGTCACTACTCACCAAGGCAGCTCCTTCCATCTGTGTGCAACTTATACCCCGGATGACAGCTACACTCAGGGCCTTCAGCTGTGTCTTCACAGGAGTGCTGACACCCGCCATTTCCATGGTTACAGGTCACTGAGTACAACATGAATCAATATATAAAGCATCGAGGTTTCCACAACCAGAGTTATGTTCCAGGATGAACTGTGATTTTTCATTCTGAAAGTATTTGAGTGCCTAAAAGATACCAGGTACTATGCATACTAGATAGAAGCCGCACCCAGACCCTGACCAAATAGCCATACTATACACAGCAGAGATTTAAGCAACGTTATACAGGAGTATAGAGACAGAAAAAGTGGAGAGTGAGGAAGATTCTCATGATTTAGGAGAGATTCTAGACTCCTTTGCTCTATCTGGAGAAATTTCCATTAGCACAACTTTGGAAAATTCTATAGTACTTCATGTCTGGAATAAATGGAGAATATTTCATTTGCATGCACGTGCACACACACACACACACACACACACACACACACACAGGATTTTTCTTACCAGATTCCATCTGGATTTGTTAAACAGGGAAGTTAAGGCTGGGAAGGTGGCTCAGTGGTAGAGCGCTTGCCTTGCATGCATGAGGCCCTGGGTTCGATTCCTCAGCACCACATAAGCAGAAAAAAAAAGCCGGAAGTGTGCTGTGGCTCAAGTGGTAGAGCACTAGCCTTGAGCTGAAGAGCTGAGGGTCAGTGCCCAGGCCCAGAGTTCAGGCCCCACGACCAGACCAAAAAAAAAAAAAAAAAAGGTGGGGGAGTTAACCAGAGGAACAGCTAATGCAACATTAACCAATAATTATGAAAACTATGTGTGAATTCATTGATGAAAGGCCAAAAAAATAAATTTAAAAAGCCAACTATAAAACTATCTACTCATCAAACTGCTAACAGAATTACCTCTGACAAAGGAAGCAGGAAGGGGAGATTACATGTTTTCTTTACATACTTCCGAGTGTTTGAATTCTTACATAAGCCTTTGTAATTTTTCTAATTTGAAAGAACTAATTACATAGTTGCAATGTGAGAAAGGAGCTGTTCTGTGATTATACCTACGTAAAAATTGTTTATATGCATGAATGGCAACTAAATAGGAGTGTGAAAAAAAATCAGAATAGCTGGTTATGTGATATGGTTCACCTTTGTTTTTCTTTTTAATTCTTCAATTATGACAACAAGATTATTTAAGCAATAATATCTTTAAAACATTTAATTTTCTAAACAAAAATAATAACCTGTGCCAGGCACTGGTGGCTCATGCCTGCAATCCTAGCTCCTCAGAAGACTGAGATATGAAAATCATGGCTTGAAACCAGCCCAGGGAAGAAAAGTCTGGGAGACTCCTACCTCTAGTTAATCACCAAAAATCTGGACGTAGAGCTGTGGCTCAAATGGTAGAGCACTATCCTTGAGGGAAAAAAAGGTAAGGAACAGTGCCCAGGCCCTGAGTTCAAGTCCCAGTACCAGAACAAAAATCAAAAATAATCGTAAATTATAAATATTCTACCTGTAGCACCTGGAAAACTAAAGTTCTAAAAGTCTTGCTCTACAAGTCAGTATTAGGAAAGCCTGGGCTCTCCTTTCAAGGTCTGAAGGCAGAAGAAGTATCTGTGCTCTGCTTAGCCCTATTGAAACTCTGGGAGACAGCCTCACTTGGAAAGGAGGAGTTCCAGCACAGTGCAGGAGTATCAGGCCTTGGCTTTAGGAAGAGATTCCTAAAGGGAAATCCTCTGGTATAAATGTGTGTTTAGAAAAACCATTGTTACCCATTGGGTTTTTGTTACCACTGTTGTGTGGCAGCTAAGTGAATTCTGTGTATACCTCCATTCAGCCATTCATTGAGCAAGTAGACATGGAGCAGTAGACATTAGGCAAAGACAGAGAGGCAAAGATAAAGTTCCTGACATGGAACTTCTCATAGAAGCACTTTCAGCCAGGCACCTGTAATCCTAGTTACTCGGGAGGCTGAGATCGGAGGATCATGGTTCAAAGCCAGCCTGGGCAGGAAAGGCCGTGAGACTCTTATCTCCAATAAACCACTCAGAAAACCAGAAGTGGTGCTGTGGCTCAAGTGATAGGCACTGGTCTTGAGCTGAAGAGCTGAAGGACAGGGCCCAGGCCCAGAGTTCAAGCCCCACGACCAACCAAAAAAAAAAAAAAAAAGAATCAGACTTTCAGTTACACAATCTACCTCAGAGTGTCATCCATGACTAAGGGATAAACTGTGTTAGGGGCCAAAACACAAAGCGGCTGCCCCATTTGAGGCCACAAAGAGGTTTCTGAGGCAGTGCAGTGTTGCGATGAGGCAGTTAGAGTTTGGCACGGCCGAGAGTAGAGTACTGGTTTGCTACTTTCTCCTAATGTGATCATGTTGCTTTGCCTTTTCCACCATTTTCTTAGCTGAAAATTAGAATAAGGATACTTAGCTTACAGGGTGGTGTTTATAAGAACTAAAGGGGACATGGTACATCTTGAGACAAGCCTTTGGCACATAATAAATGCTTCAGAAAAGGTAGCTATAGCCCTTATCATCATTAGCTAGAAGGCTAAGTAAAGGTCACCAAGCTAAGAAAGCAGGAAAGGCTCCGAAGCAAGTACATGGGGTGCTCCCCAAAGACAAGGAATTCAGTGTTTGGGGAAAAGAGGGAAGATAGGCTTAGAAAAGAAGCAGAGATCAGGCAGCCAAGTACCTATGATTTCCAGATGAAGAAATTAGATTTTACTCAGAGATAAGTAAATTTTATCTTTGCAGTATTCATATACTACTCCTGAATTACATTTCCTTCTAATTGGTTCCTTTTAAAATGTTTAATTACTGGGCAAGGTATGTAGCTCAATCTAGAACAAGTATATAGCATGTACAAGACTCTAAGTTTAAGCCCCAGCACTGATAAATAGAAAGTATCCATGAATATTATTATACAAATTATTGTACAATGCATATTATGGTACTGTGATATTTCTGTACATGCATATGTCATCCTTTGTTGGCATTCCGCCCTCTCAACTATCCACTCTTCTCCCCCCCCCCATCTCCCTACCCCCACTTAATTCCTTTTAAAACATCTCCCTGCAGCAGCAAAGTAAGCACTGGGTGGAGGACAGTTCTCATGCCAGATGCCTTCTCTGAGGCCACTGCTGTGCCCTGTGGTGGTGGTTCTGTGGAAGGCAGTCCCTGGGGTAGGCTGTCCCCAGTGCAACTGAGCACCAGTCTATACTTACAGATGCAGTCTCTCTGGTTCTTAGCCAGCTCAAAACCAGGTCTACACTCGCAGGCAACACTGCCCTTTGGGGCCTCCTTGCAGATGTGACTACAGCCGTGATCCTTATTCATGCAGCTCAGGCCCTCTGCAAAACAGCAGCATGCAGCAGATGACCAGGCTGTAGTCAGACTCCTGAGCTGCAGGGGAGCTGCCACAGTAGGGTAGGGCCCACATCTGTCCTATTAGGTCCCCATCAGCTTCATGTTTTAAAAGAACATGTCATTAAATTGAGATAGGTTAATTAACAGAGACAAGAAATATTTCTTGTATCACTCAAAAGTTATGATGCCTCAACTATCCCAAAGAGTAGAGAGCCTTCCCAATACATGGGAGCTCCATGCTTGTTATGGGATCAGAGTCTGCTGGTCCCAGAAGCAGGGGCCCAAGACGTTTGTGTTTTCCATATCTTTATTCATTCACTGCTCAAGAATCTAAAGAGAAAAGGAGAATCCCTCTAAGCAAATTTACCAAGAAAAGGATGGCAATTCCCAACCTTTTCACATTATCTTCTCTTGAAGGTCTTTTTCCAAAAACTGTCAACTTTCTCTTCACCTCTACCCTACCCATACTTTGAAGGTGAGTACAACATCTTTCTCACCACCCTGACACCTTCATCATTACTTGGGCAGGGCAGTGTACACCATCTAAATATTCTCAGAGCAGACAAAACCAAAGTGGAATGCTCATTTTGAGAGCCTGGGTGCCCATGAATAGGAACAAAGCCAGGCTGAGAGTGATGGGCTTGTCTCAAGCCTACACCCATTACATGGGTGAAAACACACAGTTCATCGGCTCTGAGATCTCTGAAGGTTTTTTAAAAAATCAATGGCTTGAGCTTTCCTCAGAATCAGTTATTATGATCCCCTATATTGAAGGATGCTTAATGAATAATTTTTATAATGCCTGCTGGCATCCACTTCTTGTAACCATTTTTAGAGTACCAACTATGGATTTTAATATATTTTATCACAATTCCCTAAGAACTTAATACATGAAGATGGAAGATGTCTCACGCACACTCTATGGGTTGTCATATTTGAAGAACTAACATCCTGGTACAGAAGGGATCACCCTTAAAAACTGCAGTACTCTGGTAGCTCACACTAACACGAATTTGCCAAGCAGTCAGGTTGAATCATAGCAGAAAATCACAGAATAAAACTTCCAGACCACACTTAAATTCTTGGATTTTGGTTTTAGCTCCAGACGAATATGTTCATTTTAAATACTCTTCAGGGGATCCAAGAATGTCTGAATTGTAGAAAATTTAGAAAACACAGCTTGCAGGAAGTGGTATTTGCCTCTGTCTAAGGAGCCTGGGTCTCTAATCAGTATAGGGGCTGATGGGAGGGGGTAAAGCCCTGAGCCAGGGATCTGGAATACAAAGCTAACAGAGAATGTGAATCTCTACAAGCTGCTCAGTGAGTGGGTAAGGTCCACAGTGGGAGGTTCAGTAACTTTACCTACAAGTCCCCTCCTCTCTCTCCAGCCATGGGAAAAGAAAGACAGAGCTACTTTCCATAGAGCTTAGAGCAACCAGAAAGAGAGATTCCCTCAGATTCAGATCACCCTCTGCCACTGGCAACTTAAGTCATTTCCACCTCTGTTCTGCCTGCTTCAGAAAAGACTTTGGTACACGCCAGAGTCCAGAGAACCAGGCAGGAAATGAGACCTAACCACCACTCTATCAAGAGCCACACCCAGCAGAAGATAAGAAATCTGGGTATTTAGAGCTGTTACACATGACTCTTGGTCCCCCAAATGCTGAGAATGAACATACTTGTCATGATTTTACAGCCATCAAACCAGCTGACCTCTGGTGGCTTCTCTGCTACTTCTTATATGCAAGCAAACATGCTACTTTAGGGGTAAGGGATGAGCCATCAGTCTCAGAAAATAATCTTCCCTGAAGAAATCCTCAAAAAGTCACCAAAACCATGATAAACACTGAATCTATGAATTTTCGATTAAATAGTAGAACTTAAAATGATCCCAAGCTTAAGTAATAGGAATGAAACAAAGCACATGCTTTAAAAAAACACATAATAGTCTAGCACTTAGGTCACTTGTCCAAAAAACAAAGCAAAACAAAAGAACATTCAGATGCATCCCCAAAGAAATACCATTACCACCATGTGGCTCTGTGGCTGTAAAAGGGCAGAGAATTATTAAAAGGATGACATTCAGTTAAAAATAACGATTGGCCACCTGCCCTAATGTCTCTTCTTTCCAAGACTGCAACAAAATAAAAGGAATTAAAAATATATATATATGACCTCAAAGCAAAGAGAATGAAAGGGAGGCCATTCGAAGGGTTTTCTGCCATTTGCAGAGGACGGCATGTACATAGTGACACAGATGAGAGAAACCACAGCACAGGGAGCCCAGCTGAGGGAGAATGGGGGTCCTCCCTCCTCCCTCAGCCCAAAGACTTGAGTTCAAAAGTACAAAACATAGAGAAGGGCCAGAACTAGCTCAGGGCTGAAGAAAGAGCAACACGTGGCCAGTTTCCCCCTCCCCACCCTCGCCCACAGAGCCAGGGGCAGGCCTACCAGGGCTGTGGTTTTCAGCACCCTCTGGAAAAACTTTGGCAGATCTTCCATCCTATTTCTCCAGAAACATCTAGTCAAGTTTGAAATGTACTCTATTTAAAGAATTAGATCAGAGAGTGCAAACACTTGCAAGCACCTAGCAGCACCTCAGGTGAGGAAAAAATGAAGTTTCTCAGCAGCAGGGTCTGGATTTGCCCCCTGGCCTCCAGACTTTCCAGATACCCCACTTCCCTGCTGAAGTCATTATGTGAGGGTGGAAGGGGGGGCAGCTCACAGATGCAGCTCCGTCCACGGCCCATCCCCCACAGCCCAGGTACCTTCCAAACGGTGAATGCACGTGTGCTGATTGTCACTCAGGAAAAAGCCCTCCTTGCAGCGACACTCATAGCTCCCCATGACATTGACACAGGTGTGCTGGCAGCCACCATTGTTCTCCAAGCACTCGTCCACATCTGGAGGGAGAAGAGGATTCGTTCGTATAGCTAGTGTAAACACCCTGACTAACCCTGAAACTGGGACCCCTGCTAAACCTTTCCACCACCCACCCCAACTTTCAGGCCCTTGAATGACAAAAAAAAAATTTCTAAATCAAAGTCTTCTGGCAGAGGACCACCTTCACTTTACAAAGCACAGTGTGAGCTGGCCAAGATACAACCACCCCCTCCATGAGCATGCCCTACACAAGAGGAAAAGAGACAATATCCTAATGATTGTGAGATGAGGTGAAAGGTGGGGGATAGGGAAGTCACATCTGACTGCGCGATATCAGCATCGATTTCTGGGAAAGCTGATAAAAGATGGGCCCCTTGGAGTTCTTCAATTATAAAACAGCGGAGGTGAGCTAGCAGGCAGAGGGGTGAGCACAAGCTCGCTCATAGAAGCGGGGAGCATACTCAGATAGCAGTGAGTCATCTCATTTGGCTGGAGCAGAGGGAACACGAAGGAAAAGTCAGGAGACATACAGCTGGAAAGATAGCCTGAAGTCACACTTGGGGATCTTTGAGTTCCAGGCAAAGAATCCCTTCTTAATTTGGGAGGCAGCTGGGAAACACTGTAAGCAGAGTTGATATATTCAGGCCCTCACTTTGGGAAAGTCAGGGCACAGGGAAAGGGAAGAGGGAAAGCCTGAGAGCCCAGCTGCACATATGTATCTGAAACAGCCCCACAATCAGTACTGGCCTGGTGCTGCTGGTAAGGTTTGCCAAGAAGGCAGACTTCTATCGAAATCTAAGTGTGGACAGGGCCCATGTCATGTTTCATGGCTCCTAAAAAGATGGAAAGTTGACACTGAGACCTTCTAGAAAAAGAAATGCAGGGTAGACCATGTTGATACAGAAGTGGGGAGGAGAGATGATGGTCTCTTCCCCCCAAGGCTGACATCCTGCAATTCAAGGCTGGGTACAGCCAACAAAGAGGAACGAGAGGGCAGGAGAGCAGCATAAACGGCTTTTTTTTTTGGTCAGTCATGGGGCTTGAACTCTGAGCCTGGGTGCTGTCCCTCAGCTCTTCAGCTCAAGGCGAGCACTCTACCACTTGAGCCACAGCACCACTTCCGGTTTTCTGGTGGTTTATTGGAGATAGGAGTCTCACGGTCTCTCTTGCCTGGGCTGGCTTTGAACCGTGATCCTCAGATCTCAGCCTCCTGAGTAGCTAGGATTACAGGCGAGAGCCACCAGCGCCTGGCCATAAATGGTTTTTAAAGCCATTTACTTGGCAGATGCCATAAGAAATGAAAGCTAGGAAGTGGTGCTGTGGCTCAAGTGGTAGAGCTCTAGCTTGGAGCATAGAGAAGCTCGGGGAAATAGCCCAGTCCCTAAGTTTAAGGTCCATGACCTGCAAAAAAAAAAAAAAAAAGTGGATGTCATAGGAATTGGAGGCATGGCTCAAGTGGTAGAGCATTAGCCGTGAGCAAAAAAAGCTTAAGTGTTCCTTGAAGTCCTGAGTCCAAACCCCAGTATTGGCACAAAAGTAAAATAAGAGAGTAGTGGCTGTAGATGAAAGAGACAAAAACATGAATGTGGGGAAGCAGAGAAAGGAGATGACCAGAGGCAGAATTCGGGAAAAGCATCGGGGGTACAGAGGAGGTAGGGAAGACAACAGGAGTCCCAGAGTCCTGAGGCAGGAGCTGTCAGAAAGGCAAGGATAGAGGAAAGCTCTCCTGACCAGCTCTTGCCACCCAAGCTAGGCTGGCTTAGTGGGTCTTGCTTCCAGTATGGCTGTGATACCACAAGTTACGATGTGCACAGCTGTACTGACGATACACACTTCACCTTGCCATCTCCACTAGATGACAAACTTCTTGTGAACAGGAATTTTTCTTGTAATTTGCAAATCTCCAGAACACAGCAGATCCTCATGATCTGGTCAAGGCATGAATAAACAAGCAGGAGAATGTAGATCACCAGAAACAAAGAAGAAACTCCCAGAAGAGTCTCAGATCTCACAAAGGTTTAAGGAGATTTTTTTTTAAGCAATTGATTTTCTCTAACCTAATTTCTCACGTGCTATCACTAGCTCCTGGGTGTATCTATAACCAGAAAAATCACATTTAAATATCTGTTATCTGGTTTCAAGTCTCAGATCTTACAGGCATTCATCCTCCCACACTACGGAGCAGATGTTTGCCTAAACTGATGGGACTCCAGCCATCCCCTACAGCCTAACAAACTCACCTTTGTCTATGCCAAAGGGCGAAGGAAGAGCGTTCCAGTGGGTGCTCTCGCTGCACCTGGCCTAGATGTTGTTCCATTGGGAAGACACAAGGTGAGCAGGAAAGATCTGTTTCCCTGAATGTCACATCCTAGACCGGTTGTGAGTCACAACACCCATGCCCCTCATATAACTTATGTCTTTTCTCCAGAGCAATCAGTAAGATGTGTGTATGTGTGCATGCACACACATACAGGTATAAGTGCTCCCCTGTCCTGGGGCTTAACTGAATTCAGAGCCTGGGCACCGTCACTGAGCTTTTCTGCTCAAAGCTAGTACTCTACCACTTGAGCCAGAGCTCTATTTCCAGATTTTTGGTGGTTAATTGGAAATTATTATGGACTTTTCTGCCCAGGCTGGCTTTGAACCACAATCCTCAGATCTCAGCCTCCTGAGCAATTAGGAGTACAGGCATGAGTCACTAACACCCAGCTAGCAATGTGTATCAGACACATAAGCTGCGTGACAGACACACCATGATCAAGTAAATTGAGTAAATACAATAGTGTGTGTTCACATCCACAGACCTGTATCACCAGACTGGTGACTTTCTCTAGATCCCAAAACAAGGATTTTCAGCCCTGTCAACATTTGTTCTGGTGCCTGGAGGCCTCCTCCAGAGCTATGGATATAACTAGGCTTCGGTGAGGCCAACTATGTTTGTTGAAACCTCAGGTGATTCTCATGTGGCTGGTGTTGAGAATCACAGCTACAAAGCCAAATGGCTGTGATGACCTCTCAGACCCTCCATAAGCAGGAAGCAAGCCAGTGGGGTGGGCTATGTGGAAATGCTGCTTTGGTTTCCCAGTTCTGCAGGCATTCAGAACCTCGGGGCCCCTGGGTATAGTGCCAGAACTGAATGGTGTTTGTATTTCATATTCTTGTCGAGCTACTTGGGGATAATATGAGGCTAGGGGACCAGCCAGTTAGAGACACAGGAAGCTGCCACCTCTGAGGAGCTTCTTTCCTGCCACAGAAGGTGCCAGCCCTTCCAGTCTGAATAGCTAGTCCTGCTTTTCCGAATGGACTTCATCTTCTCATGCCTTCCTTTTAAGAAATACATACAGGCATGCACAGTGATTACTCAGGGTCTATGCAAGGCAACTGTTTGCCACTGAATCCACCAAGAGGCCCCAAGGAGGGAAGACAGAGATACCATGCTGAAATGTCTGTGCTATCCATTATAAGGCAAGAAAAGGATCTAGACTTCTGGATTTCTGAGGAGGTCCTTACTCACAAAACCCAACCAGGCCTGGCTCACACTTTCCCCCAGACTGTGGATCACGTGCCACTGTGGTGACCCCTCTACTGTCAGATATGAATTCTCAAAACGCCACTGCTGACAAACAAAAGGGAAATTTCCCCTGAAATTGGAAATCAAAACAAAACAATAATAACAAGTAACCATGTCACACAACTCCCAAGAAATTGTCTGAATTTAATTCATCGCCGTGTGTGTGTGTGTGTATGTGTGTGTGTGTGTGTGTGTGTGTGTTTTATGGTCCTGATTGCATAGCAAGTCTGAAGAGGGGGTTGTTGCTCTCCTAGCCATGAATCCAAGCCTATTGACAGCTGCAAGCTTGAGAGGCCACATTACCTGTGCATCCACAACATGACCTCTCTTAGAAAACCCAGATAGGAAAGGACAGCATTATACCAGGGAGGAGCTCCAGGTGATAATGAAGAGGGCAGAAGGTCACAAAGGGTTGAGTTCCAAGTGGAAACACTTCCCTCCCCCATTCTATAGCCCAACCACTTGGATCACAAGTTCTGTCTGGACTTTTCTAGGGCCTTCCATGCTGATATCAAGCATTTGATTAAGTGGCCAGTCCCATCACACCATAATGGAGCAGTCGAATAGCTGTTCTTAGGTGGCCAAGTAGACATCAGCAGATCAACCAGCCACATGCAGGGTCATGAGCATCAAAGGACCCTGATACTGTGTGTCCTGTATTACAGATAACACTAGCCTTAAAAAAAAAGGCCACATGCCACTAACTCTAGCTACTTGGGAGGACATAGTAGGAAGTTGAGTTCAAAGGTCATCTAGTAAAAGGCAGCAAAACTCTCTCTCTCTCTCTCTCTCTCTCTCTCTCTCGGGTTTGAACTCTGGGCTGGGTGCTGTCCCTCAGCTCTTCAGCTCAAGGCTAGCGCCCTACCACTTGAGCCATAGTACCACTTCCGGCTTTTTCCTGCTTATGTGATACTGAGGAATCAAACCCAGGGCCTCATGCATGTGAGGCAAGCACTCTACCACTGAGCCACCTTCCCAGCCATCAAAACTCTCAACAACAAAACACAAAAGTGCTGGGCGGCAGTGGGGTGGGGGAAGTTTAAATACCAGATCACTTGCCTAGCATACACAAGGCCCTAGGTTCAATCTCCTACATTGAGAAAGAGAGAAAGAAAGGAAGAGATGAAGAGACAGACAGACACAGACAGACAGGAAAAGGAAAGAAGGAAGGAAGGAGGGAAGGAAGACAGGAAAGGAAAGAGGGAAGAGGAAGGATGGAGAGAAAGAGAAAGGGGGAAAGGAGGGGAAGGAGGGAGGAAGGAGAGAGGGGAGAAGGGAGGGAGAGAGAGAAAAAGAAAGAGATACGTGCTTCTTTCAGGTCTGCTTCATCCTCTAAGACTATCCAACACCCAACCCTTGCCAGCTGCTTGCTGTTTCTAAGCTCTGTTTGATTCCTCACATAAGGAATTAATGAAAATAATTCTCCTCACGGTCTCTAATTCAGGGACG